TCGTCAACGTCCTCATCGTCACCACCCTCATCGTCACCACCCTCATCGTCACCATCCTCATCGTCACCATCATCCTCATCACCATCATCATCGTCACCACCATTATCATCACCACCACCATCATCACCATCATCACCGTCACCACCATCGTTGCCACCATCGTCACCACCGTCATCACCACCATCATCACCATCATCATCACCATCATTATCCTGAGCCTGGCACGGGGCAGACCCGCCTTCCTCAGCATCACCATCATCCTCATCATCATCATCATCCTCTGAGCGCAGCATAGGGCCAGACGCACCTTCCTCCTCCTCATCCTCATCATCATCCTCCTCCTCCTCATCATCATCACCATCTTCCTCCTCCTCATCATCCTCATCATCGTCCTCTGAACCCGGCACGGGGCAGACCCATCTTCCTCATCATCATCATCCTCCTCCTCTTCCTCCTCATCATCATTCTCCTTCTCATCATCCTCATCATCATCATCATCGTCATCCTCATCATCATCATCCCCATCATCATTCTCTGAGCCCGGCACGGGGCCAGACCCACCTTCCTCATCATCATCATCCTCCTCCTCATCCTCATCATCATCCTCTGAGCCCAGCATGGGGCCAGACCCACCTTCCTCATCATCATCATCCTCCTCCTCATCCTCATCATCATCGTCATCGTCCTCCGAGTCCTCCTGCTGGTCCCTGCTGTCCTGGCTCCCGTCACCATCCTCCTCCTCCTCGTTGCCTTCCTCCTCCTCCTCCTCCTCGTCGTCGTCGCTGCTCTCCGCAGTTGTCACCGTCCCCACGGGGCTGCGGTGCCCAGGGTGGCGCGAGTCCCCACGGAGCCCCCATCCCGGGATCCGGGATCCAGCCCATCCCGGGATCCTGGACCCAGCCCCATCCCGAGATCCTGAACCCGGCCCATCCCGGGAGTCCGAACCCAGCCCAATCCCGAGGTCCTGGATCCAGCTCATCCCGGGATCCCAGACCCAGCCCCATCCCAGGAATCCGGATCCAGCCCATCCCAGGAATCCGGATCCAGCCCATCCCGGCCCCGCACATGGTGCAATCCCAGGAGCCCGGACCCAGTTCATCCCGGGATCCCAGACCCAGCCCATCCTGGGATCCTGGATGCAGCCCGATCCCGAGGTCCTGGATCCAGCCTGTCCCGGGATCCGGGATCCAGCCTGATCCCAGGATCCCAGATCCAGCTCCTCCCGGGATCCCAGCCCCAGCCCATCCCAGGATCCTGGATCCAGCCCATCCCGGGATCCCGCCCCCATCCCGCCCCTTCCCCGTTCCCGGCGTTCCCACAATCCCGGTTTCCGCTCCCCAACACCACCCACTGCCCCAACAAGGAAAATCCCCCCCGGCTCCCGCTGTCCCCGTCCCCCCGGTGTCACCCACCGGCCTCGCGACGGTGACGGTGACAGTGACGGTGACGTCCCGTCCTGCCCGCCTTCCTCCTCCTCCTCCTCCCGGGTCCACCCCCGCCTCCCCGCC